TGAGTAAGGTTGAGCATCTTTTCACGTTTGAGTCCCTTTTTTTTTTTTTTTTTTTTTTTTATTTTTTTGAGACAGAGTCTCTCTCTATCACCTAGGCTGGCGTGCAGTGAGGTGATCTTGGCTCACTGCAACCTCTGCCTCCCGGGTTTAAGCCATTCTCCTGCCTCAGCCTCCCGAGTAGCTGGGACTACAGGCCTGTGCCACCACACCCAGCTAACTGTTGTATTTTTAGTAGAGACAGGGTTTTGCCATGTTGGTCAGGCTGCTCTCAAACTCCTCAGTCTCCCAATGTGCTGGGATTACAGGCATGAGCCACCGCATCTAGCCTTGAGTCACTTTTCTTTCTTTTCAATGAACTGTTTTATATACTTTTGTCCATGTTTCTGTTGGCTTATTCATCTTTTCCTTATTGATCTGAAAGAGCTCTTTTACACTGGTGATGTTAGCTGTCTATATGCATTATGAATTGGAAATATTTTTCCCAATTTGTTGTCTAACTTTTTATTTGTTGTGGATTTTGCCACATATTTTTAAACAATTCATCAGTCTTCTATTTTTAGGAAGTCTTTTGCTATATTGTGCTTTTTAAAAACTGTACAGTTATGAAAATTATTCTTAATGTTTCTTTGACTCATTTTATTGTTTTATTTTAAGATTTAAATCTTTTGGACCTGGCACAATGGCTCACACCTGCAATCCTAATGCTTTAAGAGGCCGAGATTGGAGGATCACCTGATTCCAGTAGTTCCAGACCAGCCTCGGCAACAGAGTGAGACGCAGTTTCTACAAAAAAAAAAAAAAAAAAAAACCTAAGAATTCACCAGGTATGGTGATGCACACCTGTAGTCCCAGCTACTCAGCAGACTGAGGAGAGAGGATCACTTGAGTCTAGGAGTTCAAGACTGCAGTGTGTCTCTGGACTCCAGCAGCCTGGATGACAAAGCAAGACCCTGTCTCTTAAAAAAATAGTAATAATCTTTTGTTCATCTGAAATATATCTTGGTGTAAGATATAAAGTAGAGCTAAACTTATTTTTGTTCCAAATGACTGCTCATTTATCCCAACACCATTTGTTGAATTTTCTATTTATCACTAATTTGAAAAGCCACCTTTATCATTGTGTAAAGAGCCTCATGTATTAGAATCGATTTATAGACATTCAGTTCTGTTTCATTGATCAGTCTATTTAATCACACTTCTTTTTTTTTTTTTTTTCCTTTTTTTTTTTCTGAGACAGAGTCTCACTCTGTCACCCAGGCTGGAATACAGTGGTGCAATCTCAGCTCAAGTGATGGTCCTGCCTCAGCCTCCTGAGTAGCTGGGATTACAGACACATGCCACCACACCCAACTAATTTTTGTATTTTTAGTAGAGACAGGGTTTCACCGTAGTGTTCAGACTGGTCTTGAAATCCTGACCTCGTGATCCACCTGCCCCAGCCTCCCAAAGTGCTGGGATTACAGGCGTGAGACACCGCGTCCTGCCTTAATCACACTTTTTATGATGTGGAGAGGTAGGCGATAAAGGCCAGCGTTGACCTCTTTGAGGTGTAACATTTTGGTTGAGGTGTAACAAACATACAGAAAAGTGCACAAATCACAAGTATAAAGTTCAATGAGCATTCACAGTGTGAATATACAGTACAGTATATACTCAGTACTCATAACCGCTACTCAGACCAAAGAGCAAAACATTACCAGTACCTAGAAGCCTCCTTCCAGTTACCGCCCTCCTCAGGCTAACCACTGCCTGACTGACTTCTGATTTCTAATAGGATAATTCATCATGCCAGTTTGGAAATTTAGGAGTTGAATTATTCAGTATACTCTTCTGTACCTTCTTTCACTCAATATTACGCTCATGAGATTCAACCACTTTGATGCATATAGTTGTAGTTCGTTCAAACTCATTGCTGTAGAGTTTCCCACTGTATAAATGGAAGACATTGTATTTATTCATTCTACTGTTAATGAACATTTGGGAATTACTGATTTTTTGCTATTAAGAATAGTGCTTATATGAACATTTATACATACCGTTTCATGAGCTTGTGTTCCTGCTTCTATTGGATGTAGAGTTAGGAGTGGAATTACTGGACCAGAGGGTATACATATGTTCAGCCTAAATAACAAACAGTTCTTCCAAAGTGATCGTGCCAGTGTCAGAGTTTCCAGTACTCCACATCCCGGCTTACGCTTGGTATTTGTAGCAGAAGCTGTTGGTGGCCATCCATTTGCACTCAAGCTTCCCTATTTCAGTTCACACCTGCACCTTAAACTCTGCCTAAGGGTTTCCCTGGCCATCAGAACCTTTTAGGTCCTCACTTAAAACAGGCCAGAAGGGAAGGGGATTAATAAGTCCTGAGCAGAGATCTCAACCAATGACTGATGCGCCGTGGTTTATGCATACCCTAGCTCCCTTGACCTTGGGACAGGAAGACTCTGAAGCACATGCTCTACACTTGCTGTCAGAGCTCCCAGTGGGAGTAAGCTCCAGCTGGCACTGGTGATGACATGCTTGATAATATGGCCTGTATCTGTTGGCTTCCCCTCCCTGTCTGGTTTCCACTTCCCTACGGGTATTTTAAATCCTTGTCTCACACAGTCCACTTCTGTGGGAATCCAAACTAAAGACAATCTATTTTTCTTTATTTTGGCTGTGGGGGAGCTGGGAGTGATTAGAGAGAGAATATGTCTTAAAATGCTCCTAATGAGGGAAGGTGATAATGTAAGAACAGTTGAGAAAAACTGGCTTAGATATATGATTCATATCAAATTTATTTTTGTGTATAGTGTAAGGGAGGGGTCCGGTTTCTTTATTTATTTTCTATTTTACATATGTTTATCCAATTGTAAAAGCACCATCTATTGGAAAGACTTTTTCCCCCTTAAACTAATTGCCTTAACACCATTTCACTAATAATAGACTATGTGTATATATATATGGGCATATATATATATAATATATGTATAGTCTGGTCTCTGTTCTGTTGGCTTCTTTTTCAATTATTATGCTAATACCATACCATATGGATTACTATACCTCTACAGTAAATTTTTTTGAGGGTCTCACTCTGTCACCCAACAAACTTGAGTCTTCCAACCCATAAACATGGCATATTTTTTCATTTATATGCGTTTATGATTTTTTAATAAATAGGTCTATGTATTTGATGTTATTGCAAATGGTATTTTTATTTCATTTCTCAATTGTCTCTTGCTAGTATATAGAAATACAGTTGATATATATACATATATATGGGCATAATTCTGGTTTCTATTCTGTTCTATTGGCTTCTTTGTCTACTATTATGCTAGTATCATACATATAGATTACTATACCTCTATAGTAATATCATTGATCTTTAGAGAAAGGCAAATCAAAACCACAATGAGATATCATCTCATGCCAGTGAGAAAGGCAATTATTAGAAAGTTCAGAAACAACAGATACAGGCAAGGTTGCGGAGAAAAAGGAACACTTTTACACTGTTGATGGGAATGTAAATTAGTTCAACCATTGTGGAAGACAGTATGGCAATTCCTCAAAGATCTAGAGGCAGATATATCATTTGACGCAGCAATCCCATTACTGGGTATATACCCAAAGGAATATAAATCATTCTGTTATAAATATACATGTACCTGTATGTTTATTGCAGCACTATTCACAATAGCAAAGACATGGAATCAACCCAAATGCCCATCAATGATGGACTGGATAAAGACAATGTGGTACATATACACCATGGAATAGTATGCAGTCATAAAAAGGAACGAGATCATGTCCTTTGTAGGGACACCGATGGAGCTGGAAGCTGTTATCTTCAGCAAACTAACACAGGAACAGAAAACAAATCACCGCATTTCTCACGTATAAGTGGGTGCTGAATGAGATCACATGGACACATGGCACGGAACAAAACACACTGAGGCCTGTTGCGGGGAGGGCCTGATAGGGGGAGGGAGAGCATCAGGAAGAATAGCCAATGGATGCTGGGCTTAATGCCAAAGTGATGGGTTGATCCGTGCAGCAAACCACCATGGCACACATTTACCTATGTAACGAACCTGCACATCCTGCACATGTACCCCAGAACTTAAAAAAAAGTTATAGGATACAAAAACAAAAACAAAAATGAGGCCGGACACAGGGGCTCATGCTTGTAATCCCAGCACTTTGGGAGGCTGAGGCAGACGGTTCACGAGGTCAGGAGTTTGAGACCAGCCTGACCAACATGGTGAAACCCCATCTCTACTAAAAATACAAAAATTAGCCAGGCGTGGTGGGGGCCTGTAATCCCAGCTACTCAGGAGGCTGAGGCAGGAGAATCACTTGAACCCGGGAGGTGGAGGTTGCAGTGAGCCGAGAGCACGCCATTACACTCCAACCTGGGCGACAGAGCGAGACTCCATCTCAAAACAAAACAAAACAAAAAATAAATAATCCTTTATAAATATTTGTTAAATTGGTAGGATTGTTAGCATAATTTTCAAAAATTTTATTCATATTAGTCTACAGCATATCTAAATAACATTCGTGTTAACAAATACCAACGGTTTTTTGATTTAAAAGTGGTGAAAGACAAACTAATCATAAGTTTTTTATACACCCATATATTTTCCAATAGCATGACATGGTCAAGATATTTAGAAATAGGCTATTTGGGAAAGAAAGAACTTGTTGAACTCCAGAAAATATAAGGTAGATACAATTCAAGGTTTTTGAACCTTGGAAAAGGAAGGGTAATTTTCTTTTTTTCTTTTTTTTTTTTTTCCAGACGGAGTCTCACTCTGTCGCCCAGGCTGGGGTGCAGTGGCATGATCTTGGCTCACTGCAAGCTCCGCCTCCCGGGTTCACACCATTCTCCTACTTCAGCCTCCTGAGTAGCTGGGACTACAGGCGCCCGCCACGACTCCTAGCTAATTTTTTGTGTTTTTAGTAGAGACGGGGTTTCACCGTGTCAGCCAGGATGGTCTTGATCTCCTGACCTCGTCATCCGCCAGCCTCGGCCTCGGCCTCCCAAAGAGATGGGATTACAGGCGTGAGCCACAAGGAAGGGTAATTTTCTATAAATAATTTTTTTCACAACTGTGTTTCTTATATTCATACAGAAGTATCTTAATTGGTGTATTACCAATTTGCTTCACTAGATGGAGATATGAGGCACAAGAACTACAAATTCCCTCAGAAGGGAAGTGTGACTCTTGATATTTTGAAAACCATAATTTATTTATCGAAGAGAAACTACAGCTTGTAAGATGTCATCTTAAGGGAGACCATCTTCCATGTGATAAATTGTTGGCCCCAGGGAGAAACGTTTGCTGGGACTGATGGTGAGTATTTTACTAGTTAATATTTCATCAGTGTTACTGAGTAGATTTCTTAATTTATTCATCCACTTATGTGGTTTTGTTTTTGAGACGAGGTTTCATCATGTTAGCCAAGATGGTCTCGATCTTCTGACCTCGTGATCTGCCCACCTCGGCCTCCCAAAGTGCTGGTATTACAAGCGTGAGTCACTGCGCCCGGCCTATATGTTCATTTTTTTATTCATTGACCAAACACTTAATTTACCCCACACTGTTAGTCACTGGGATACAAAAATAAGGAGGATACAATCCCCACTCCTCCAGAAGCTCACAGCCTCCAGACGAGTAGTATGTAAACTATTAATTAGAATATATTCAGGGCAGAATTATAGCATGGGTTAACCCAAGATTTGCTGGCTGCACCAGGAGAGAAACGGCTGGCTCTTATTGAGTAAGAGAACGTGCTTGGGATGAGTTTCAAGGGATGAATAATTCAGAGGCAGTCTCAAATGAGAATAAGACTATAGCAATAGTCCAGACAACACTTGGTGAGGGAGTTCACTTGAAGGAAACAAAAACAAAAACAAAAATAAGGCCAAGCGCCGTGGCTCACGCCTGTAATCCCAGCACTTTGGAAGGCCGAGGTGGGCGGTTCACAAGGTCAGGGGTTTGAGACCATCCTGACCAACATGGTGAAACCCCGTCTCTACTAAAAATACAAAAATTAGCTGGGCTTGGTGGCACGCACCTGTAATCCCAGCTACTCAAGAGGCTGAGGCAGGAGAATGTCTTGAACCCGGGAGGCAGAGGTGGCAGTGAGTCGAGATCAGGTGGGTACCTGTGGGGATAGAAAGGAGGAGGTAAGTGCACAAGATGTAGAGAAGGTAGAATACGTTAGACATAAATACTCAATAATTGTTGGGATCAAACGGGAGGAGGACATTTTCTAGATAGTTTGAAACAAGCACTGTGGAGGTCAGGATGAAAATTCAACATGACTAGGAGAAATTGAAAATAATTTTTTTTTTTTTTTTTTTTTGGAGACAGTCTCGCTCTGTTGCCCAGTCTGCAGTGCAGTGGTGCGATCTCCGCTCACTGCAACCTCAGCCTCCCAGGTTCGAGTAATTCTCCTGCCTCAGCCTCCTGAGTAGCAGGAACTAAAGGCACGCACCAGCATGCCTGGCTAATTTTTGTATTTTTAGTAAAGATGGCAGTTTCACCATGTTGGCCAGGCTGATCTTGAACTCCTGACCTCGTGATCCGCCCGACTTGCCCTCCCAAAGCGCTGGGACCACAGGCGTGAGCCAATGAACCTGGCCTTCCAATTACTTTTCAACCTGTAAACTGCTCTACCCTACAGAATCCATGTGTGTATTTCGTTCTTTGGAATCTGCCATGCCATTTACCCTACACATCATACTTTCTATGATTGCAGCACACATTTTACACCTATCCGAGACTCACTGACTCAAGAGTTAACCAAAACTCTCTACCACCAGAGCTGACCAATGCATGACAGCCTTTTGTGGGTGAATTTCTTTTAAATTCAGCTCCACTGTGTAGGCAGTCATCCCTCTAATCCCACCTATGGCCCACTTCCTGGATCTCTCCATCACGTCTTTCCTTTCAGCCATCATGCTAGTCTTTCCAGGAGTCTAGTCCAGGAGACACAGGCAAGTAGCTGCAGGCCTAAGGAAGAGCAGCATCCAATGAAGTGGTGTGCTTGTGTTTGTGTTTTAGCACCAACCTCATATGTTGACAGAGCTCAGGAGTGTGAGGGACAAGTCCATGTTCCATTAGCTCCATTCTTTGCCCAGGGCTTCACTGCTCCTTGTCAGCTGCTATCTCCTCTATGTTGCAAATAGGATTCTCTCCTCCCTTGTGTCAATCTGGTAGGCTCTCAAACTCAGGAAATCTGAGTCCTTTAAGAAGGTGCTTACTAGGAACTAAGGGTGACAAATACAATAACAAGAAGCAGCAGCTCTCCTAGGACCGGCTCCTTTTTATACAACTCCATTAGAAAAGGATGCAAGGCTCACGTTGTTGCATGTATTCAAGGTTCTCTTGCTTTGCTGACTAATAGTACACTGGACTGTATAGCACACTTTGTTTATCCATTCTTCTGCTGCCAGAATTTGGATTGTTTACAACTTGGGGCTATTAGGAATAAAGTCCTATGAATATTTAAGTACAAGTCTTTCTTTGGACATATGCTTTTATTTCTCTTGGGTAAATACCTAACAGTGGAGTTTTTGGTTTTTTTGTTTTGTTTTGTTTTTAGGCAGAGTCTCTCTCTGTTGCCCAGGTTGGAGTGTAGTGGCGCGATCTTAGCTCACTGCAAGCTCCCCCTCCCAGGTTCACACCACTCTCCTGCCTCAACTTCCAGAGTAGCTGGGACTACAGGCGCTTGCCACCACACCCCGCTAATTTCTTTTGTATTTTTAGTAGAGACGGGGTTTCACCGTGTTAGCCAGGATGGTCTCGATCTCCTGACATCGTGATCAGCCTGTCTTGGCCTCCTAAAGTGCTGGGATTACAAGCATGAGCCTCCCTACCTGGCCGAAAATAATTTTAATAAGGCATCTCTATTCATATCTTAAATTGTAAACTGCCTTCTCACTCCCTTTTCTTGAGATCTCACCTCATTCTCTGTTTACTCTGGCATGTAAACGTATTCTTCCTGCCAAATGAGTCAGTCTCAGTCTAGATTTGTACTGACACGTATTAAATTTCCTGTAAAAATAAGAAACTAGTACATTATCTCTCTCTCTTTCCCCCTTTCCTCTATCTCTGTCTTACACACACACCATGCACATACATGCACACACCCTGACAAGTATATAGAAAAAGTATAGTGTCACCTTTACAGAAAATATATGGAATTACTATTCATAAAGCAGAAAAAACAATCTTGTGCTCATAACATACCCCAGAAAACCGTGCAGTTGTTACTCTCCAGTGTTCTTAGATTCTGAAATGGAAGATAGGACTTACTGCAGATATTTCATACTCAACTATGTGGAATAGTTTTTCTAGGGTTTTTTGTGTGTGTGTGTGAAGTCCTATTATTTATGCAAAGATTGGAAATCTAGAGGGTTTTTTTGCTTGTTTCCAGTCTTTCTCTTAATTTCTGTGAATTCAACTCTGTTCTCATCTAACATCCATGTGTTTAATTTTATTCATCCCTAACACAGGGCGTATAATAATACACACCCAGTGAGTGCGTGAGATTCATGGAGAAGGACGTTTGCCATGACCCCTGAACCAGCCCAGACAGCTGACGGAGGCAACTTGAGGTGGAGAGAGAGAGAGAAGAAAAGTTGAAGTGACAAAGAGCACTTTCTCTACAGGGAGAGTCAAGAAGAACCAGAAAAATTTAAACTTCAAAAATTCTGGACTTGCTTTTAAAGGCTTTCTGTTTTTTATTTGCATAGTGATGAAGAAAAAAGAATTTGGGTGTGTATATTTGAGTTCCAGCTAGGGATTCTCACAGCCTCCCTATCCATGTCATCATCTGTATCCACATCACCTCTGTTTACATCCATACCCTTGTCTACACTTTAATCCACTTCCATATCTTCTCATCTTCCTCATGTCTGGATCATCCTGGTGGTACAAATAGGGTGGACAGAGGAGCACTGGAAGTAACATAAACAATATCTGATGACTAGAACAAACTCAACAAGTATGAACTCCACCTGTCTTTGCAGTATATTTTTGAAAAACTTTGTAAAGGGTTCATGTCTAAATTGTTTCCGATGTAACGTGAGCCAATGGAAGGAGCACAAGAGGTTTACATCAGAAGGTCTTGGTTCATAGAGTTCCTTGGAAAAGTGCTTGATTCTAGGACTCAGTTGGGGAAAATCTAATTGAGCATGAAAATCTTGTGATGTCAGAAAATAAGGAAGGACTCAAAACAACAGCTCTACCCCCCAATGACAGGATCAAAAGGATATAAGAGCCCACCTAAAGGGTTTCCAATGGCCAAAGTTGGAACAATTTGACCAAGAAAATAATGATAGTATTTGATTCTAAACTAGTGGAATAAAATAAATATCCATCAGTCCATACATACCAATATAAATAAATAAGTGAATGAATAAATACATAAATTAATACTTCTGCCTTTCAGGAGAACTGTAATTAATAAATGCAGGAGAAATGAGGAAAATACAAAGTCATTGTTCAGTAGACAACACAATAATACTTGTTGCAGGCAAGATCTACTGGTAGTCCAAAATCACTGGGTGAAAGTTTGAGGTGAAAGAGGATGTTAGCATAGTCTCAGTGTATCTCCTCCAAGGTATCTATTAATCACAAAGGAAAACATAGTAGGTTTACAGTGGAGAGACCTGACAGATGCCATCTTTTTTTTTTTTTTTTTTTTTTTTGAGACATGGTCTCACTCCATTGCCCAGGCTGACATGCAGTGGCACCATCTTGCCTCACTACAATCTCTGCCTCCTGGGTTCAAGCAATTCTTCTGCCTCAGCCTCCTGAGTAGCTGTGATTACAGGCATGCACTACCGCGCCCAGCCAATTATTTTGTATTTTTAATAGATTTGGGGTTTCACCATGTTGATCAGGCTGGTCTTGAACTCCTGACCTCAGGTGATCCACCCACCCCAGCCTCCCAAAGTGCTGACCCTGACTCTTCAAAAGGGTCAGGGTCATGGAAGGCAGAGTGTGAGACAATCTCTCAGACTGGAGAAGACTGACAAGTGGTACCTAAATGCAATATGGGATTCTGAATCAGATCCAAAAAAAAAAAAAAAAAAAAAAAAAGACAAGGGAGAAAACTCATGAAATTCAAATTAGGTCTGTAATTTAATAGTATTGTATCAATGTGAATTAAGTTAATTTTCTGGTTTTGATCATTTAACTATGGCTGCATAATTATTAACATTAGGGAAAGCTGGGTGAAGGTTAGACATAAACTCTCTGCACTATTTTTGTAACTTTTCCATAGTCTAATGTTATTTAAAATTTTAAGTTTTATTTTTTAACACCTTGGTTCGAGTCTGAGCTCTAGCACTTATTACCTCTGTAACCTTTCTGGGGCTCAGTTTTCTTCCTAAACAGTGAGTTAGGATGGATGACCCTTCGGCCCCTTCTAGAGAGCTATGGAGAGGTTCTCTTACCCACAATGTTTACCTTCCTTTACTTCAGCAAGCTACACAGTCACTGATCAGCAGTTTTGGAAATGAAGAATCTTGAAAATAGTCATGAAATTTTATTTGCAGGTATTAATAATTTATCTCTGAGGTTCAACTTTCCACCTAAAGGCAGAGTGATCCAGGACTGGAGAACTATTCCCAGCTTGTTGGGTGTTAGATGCTGCTTTAACAGATATTATGCCAACAGGAAACTAACCTAAAAGTCTTGTTGAAGAGTATTTAGACTAGAAGAAAACACAAAAATACCATATCATCTACTAAAGAGTAGTGGAATTATGAGTGGTCATTTTGTTTCAAAGTTTCCTTAATCTTAACCTTGTCTTTTTAGAATTAAAAATGTGTTTACCAAAAAAATGCGTGTACTTGGAATAGATAGACGCATTGTTGAAAATTTCCAGCTCTCTAATCCTAGCAACCAGGAAGAATATCCCGGGAATGCTTTGGCAGTTAAAAAACAAATCAGCTTGGCAGTGATCACTTCCCTTGATACCCTCCCACACGCCCACATACACATTTCTCTTGACCACTACGGACATTCCAGCCTCTCTCCTTCCAACAGCATCTGCCTCCCTGTGAGAATTCTTTCTTGGGGCCTTCATTCCTGCAGAAATACAGCATCTAATTAAAATAGAAATCTCAGTTCAGGGATGCAATACCTCAAATTAGCAGGGTTCTTTTCATTATGCTATCTAATTTCAGCAAGATTTTCTTTAGTCTTTAAAATCAGAAGGTCTCTTCCTCTTGGCCATTCTGCCTTTTTCTCTTGTTTGAAAATTCTACTCATCAAGCTGCTTCTTCAACACAACAAAGTGTCTTCAATACTTTACCTTTCCTTGTACAGTATTTGTTATAGGACATTTAATTAGGTTTTCTTTCTTTTATTTTCAAGTTTACTGGAAAATTTCTATGATCAAATCTTCAGAGAATTGAGCTGAGTGTGGTGGCTTGGGCCTGTAGTCCTAGCTAACTGGGAGGCTGGTACAGGAGGATTGCTTAAACCCAGGAATTCGAGGCTGCAGGGAGCTATGACCTACCACTGCATTTCACCTTGGGTGACAAAGTGAGACCTCATCTCCTAAAAAAAAAAAAATTGTCCCAGCATGGTGGCTTATTCCTGCAATCTTAGAGCTTTGGGGAACCGAGGTGGGAGGATCACTTAAGGCCAGGAGTTCAAGGCCAGCCTGGTCAACATAGTGAGACCCTGTCTCTAAAAAATATAAAAAATAAAAACAAAAATAAATATAGAGTAGAAATAATCCAGACTGGGCGCGGTGTCTCACACCTGTAATCCCAGCACTCTGGGAGGCCAAGGCGGGCAGATCACGAGGGCAGGAGATGGAGACCATCCTGGCTAACACGGTGAAACCCCATCTCTACGAAAAATACAAAAGAAATTAGCCGGAAATGGTGGTGGGTGCCTGTAGTACCAGCTACTCAGGAGGCTGAGGCAGGAAAATAGTGTCAACTTGGGAGGTGGAGCTTACAGTGAGCCGAGATCGCGCCACTGCACTCCAGCCTGGGCGACACAGCGAGACTCTGTCTCAAAAAAAAAAAAAAAAAAGAAAGAAAAGAAATAATCCAGAAGACTCTCTGAGAGCCCATTTAGAATGGTTTGCTTTCAGAAGAATTAGCAAGACCTTTTTATGGCCTCACCCTGTGAAGTGCTCATACTCACGTGACTCAAGGAAAGCACATGCTCTCTGAATCATTCAGCATCATTACAGCAATAAGAGAATGACATGTGGGCAGTCATGGTGCTAAGTCATTGCCTGTTAGTATTGCATGACTCGTTTTAGTTGCCTGAAGCTCCACATAGTAGTTTAATGTCAGTCGTTTTCTTGAAGGTTGCTCTTTTACCATCAGTCCCAGACTCTACCATGGAGTGGCTTTAATCATTGCCTGGATTAATCCAGATAGCTGATGTTTCACCCCTTTGAGCACCAAAACAAAAATATTTTCAAAACTGTTCTCTATGGAATTTATCCTGTATTTATCCTTCCTCACATTTAAAATAGAGTATATTACATTTTATTTAACATTTCTGGAAGAATGCTATTATAAAATGTGATGCCCTTTGTCTAGAAAAATGTATAGCCATGTCTGATTCGTGTCTCAATTACTCTAGGCCCACACTCGTTTTTAATTCTTAGGTCATACTTTTAGTGGTTTTAGTTTTCACCTTCACTATCAAGGTATCTCAAGGTATACTCACTATTACCAATGTGCCACATTGTACTTTTCAGCTACTTCTAATTTGATGTAGGCTTGAAAATGAAATATGTAAGATCATAAAATAACATGTAAAATAAGAGTCCTATAGGGAGGCATGTGTGATAACCTCTCATTAATAACATACATGAGCTTTGAGTATGATCCAGGAGAAGTGAAGGAAGCTAGAAAGAAAATAAAATGATTCATTGGACTTGATTCTTGAAACTGTCTTTTTTGAGCAGCCAAGTTACAAAAGCATAAGATCATATTATTCTTTGAGATATATTTCATACACAATAAAAAGCACAGCTCTTCAGTTTACAGTTTAATGAGTTTTGAAAAATGTATACACCTTTGTAACCCAAAGCAGGATACAGAGCATTTGCATCAGCCCTGGAAGTTCCTTTGTGCCCTTTGATGCCAGTGTCCACGCCCTACACACACACACCCAGAGGCAATGGTTGTTCTGATTTCCATAGCTATAGATTGGTTTGCTTGGCTTTTAACTTTACATAGATAGAATCATACCATGGCCAGGAGTGGTGGCTCACGCCTGTAATCCCACCACTTTGGGATGCCGAGGCTGGCAGATCACAAGATCGGAAGTTCGAGAGCAGCCTGGCAAACATGGTGAAACCCCATCTCTACTAAAAACACAAAAATTAGCTGGGTGTGGTGGCGGGCACCTGTAATCCCAGCTACTTAGGAGGCTGAGGCAGGAGAATCGATTGAACCCAGGAGGCGGAAGTTGCAGTGAGCGGAGATCGTGCCACTGCACTCCAACCTGGACCACAGTGAAAGACTCCATCTCAAAAAAAAAAAAAAAATCATACCATAAGCACTCTTCTATTACTATATTATCTGACTTCTTTTGTTCAATATATTATGTTGGAGGCTCACGTTGTTGCATGTATTCAAGGTTTGCTTGCTTTGCTGACTAATAGTACACCGTACAATACAGCACACTTTGTTTATCCATTCTTCTGCTGCCAGAATTTGGGTTGTTTACCACTTGAGGCTATTAGGAATAAAGCACTATGAATATTTACGTACAAGTCTTTTTGTGGACATATGCTTTTATTTCTCTTGGGTAAATACCTAAGAGTGGAATTTTTTTTTTTTTGAAACGGAGTCTCTCTCACACAGAGCGTCTCTCGGGCCAG